ATTGGGTTGCAACTGAACTGGCATAGTAAAAATTGGGTCACGGTGCAAAAAAAAGAGCATTGAAGTGATGCAGAAGATGCTTTCCCTAGGAAATAATTACTTTTATATGCAGTAATTGGTAAAGTAATTGAATTACTTTTGAATAAAGTAACTAGTAACTGTAACTGTTAATTTTGAGTGACTTGCACAACACTGCTCAGAATATATCAAAAAGGTAGTCAATTATTGTGTAGATACTGTTAGATAACCCTTTAAAATGTTAAGAAAAAGTGTTGCCATCAAGTTTAAAGATTCTCAGACTAAACACTATTCAAATGTCACAGCACGGACCGGGGAAGCGGGAGCAGGGAGATGGAGAACAAGAGGAAAAGCAGGCAGTAACGTCACTGACAAGACTATGGAAACATCGGAATTCCACATGAGGTAACAAGGGGGCGTGGCACACGGGAGGATCGGACGAGCAGGGCATGACATCAAAAGCACTATTCAAAAACTGTTTAAGTTACTATATTTCTGAAACAGTAAATCTCAGTCACACTTCAAGACTGGTCGTAGGAGTGAATTTTGTGTTATGCGCTTTGTGAAACATCTCCAGAAAATTTTGTACGCATAGGGCATACAGAAAAAAATGTTATGGCATTTGGCACCAGTTGTCACAAACCCGCTAGGACCAACAGAGGGATATTTTAGTCTTTATTGTACCAAGTTGTAGCAATAGAAACTGGGAGCGGGCAGGATGGTGGTCGTACAGGCAGGGTCGAAAACCAGGAGATCGGGCAGGCCAGGGTCAGGATCCGGATGCGTGGTTGGGGTCACAGGCAAAGGGGTTGAGAGCCGGGAGGTCCGTCCGATGACACTGAGAAGGTACACGGGAAATTCACGAGGAGGAAGAGTGAGGGGAGGTCGGGCAGGAGGGAGGTCGAGACGGGTCACAGGGAGAGTCGGACAAGCAGGGTGGAACGGAGCTATACGGAAGACAGGGAAAGTCATGCTCAGTATGTATCTATTCATCTACAATACCTCGCACCGGGCTGCGGTGTTTTCGGGCTTATATCCAACGTGGAGGCCCGGTATTGGTCGGGGCTCCCGCCTCCCATTGCCGGTTCACCGGCGGGGCGTGACACCAGTTGTGTGCCATTTTCAGCACCATTGTGCAAGATTTGTGCCAAAATAGATAATGCATCAAAACACCCAAAAAAGAAACAAAAACAACAAAGCAAAACACTTCTCAGAAAACACTATTTCAAACTATTTACAAACATTTATTCTGAGCTTTGTCCATTGTCATATGTAGCTCTCTTGTTGTCACTCCTTGAAGCAGTTTCTGCCTGTGAAGCAGAGTGACATTTTTCTGAATATATGCAACACAACAGAGTAATCTTAAAGCAGCAAACTTAATAACTATTTTTTTTTTCTGCCTGCCATCTTGCCATTGCCTACGCATAACAAACTCCAAGAGTGAGTATAGTAGTGGCTTGGTATCCCAGACTTACCGCAGATAGTAGCAAACACCATATATGACTTGTTTTTCATGTAAAATACAATAAGACGTGAACGACAATAAGTAATTATTATGATTATTAAAAAGGGGGTTATTTGAACACAGGCACTGCGTCATGGCAACAATCCAATAGACAGCTAATGGTGAACATCCAGTACGACTGATTCATCATGCTACTCAGCACGGCACACAATTTTAAACTTTTAAATTGTTTATTTTTTAAATTTCTGATTTAATATTTCTTCTCCTCAGTTCACCACGGGTCACTGAAACCACAGAAAGCCAAACTTCGGATAAGGGAAGACTACTGTATACTATTGCTAGGCAGATAAGGCATTTTTACACATCAATTACTTGTCCATTACACAGAAGATTGCAGCACCAATTAAATTTTATTGTTTATGTATATACCACCAATAGAATTGTATTTTACTCACATACCAGTTGTAGAGAGTATTTTTGGCCAGAAACTTACGGGCAGAAGAGATAAAAACTTACTGAGCATTCCTCTGATTTATTTGTAATAATTTGAAGATAAACATTATTATAGAAAGTAGAGCTTGAGTTTCTTTTACTCAGAAAAATCTAAACTATGTTCAATATTTTTAAGATGCGTCAAGCCCGGCCACAGACTGGTCCAAGTTAAACTCACTGCATACATACTGCACACTGTATTTTTTGATCGGTTCATCCTAGCACATTTGCTTATGGGAGATACTCGGGGATCATCTAGAGTCAGAAGGATCCAGATCGGGCCTTTTGCTTGGCTACTCACGGACTTCCAGATTCTTATTCCTAATCCCACCTTGTGTAGTGTTGGGAATGCCTGTTGGATGGCTATCTACTGGCATGTTTTACCACCCAGCTCTCCTTTGACAGAGACAGTCACATTTCCAGAGCTGATGCCATCTGACCCGTCGATGATCGGAGAGCTTTTTTCAGCAGCTACAATGGGATCAAATGCGTGCCAGAGGAGAAAATCCCGAGAAATTTGCTTAGCCAGTGTTTAAGCGGGATGAGAGTTTTGCTAAAAATATTGAATGTATGGCATCAGGTTGCAGCAAAATACCTGGTCTCAGATATGAGATATGGCTTTGGTCTCAATACCAGCTACTACCAGCTACTGAGGCACAGTACAGTACAGCCCCCTACAGACAGGGCAGTGTCACTGCACCACTGTGTTTCTCAGTGGGGAGGCCTTGCTGCAATATGCCTGAAATTTAAGGCAAAACAAATGGAGGAAAGTGTCAGAAAACAGATAAACCCAAGAAGACAACAGAAAATAAATGCAAAATGCAGATGATGATACGATACCCAAGGCTACAGCTACACTTGAGCAGCCAAGTGTCCTTGAGGGGCCGCAGTCAGAGTTGTCTTCCAAACAGTGTAAATTCTATCCTTCCTTCCCCGCATCCTCCATGAGCTCATGTTAATTAAAATTAATTGTGACTCACATGTGTGATGAGAGTCTGCAAGAGACACTTGAACCATGAGAGAATGTTTGGGATGAAACAGGTTTTTGGCTACTCCACCCAAGACCCTCGAAATCCCCCTACCCTACATATGGGGGTCTGGCAAGGATTTGGAACCAAAGATAAAGGGTGTTGGGGGACAGATTTTCCGTCAGCTGAGCCCAACAGCTTGGCAGCATTTTTGGGGCCTGTTTCAGGGGACCAGAGCGAGGACAATGACAAACAGAGTTCTCGTTGTTTGAATTCACCAACAAAGTGTTTACCTTTCATAACACTTCCTTAGCGATACAGTGGACTGGCGTGATGCTTCTCCATGCCGTCTTTCCTTCCTGTTCCTCCTCCAGCTCCAGGCCAGATTTCACTGCCGCATTCTTCATTGACGTGATGCTGAAGGGTTTTAGCAGTTTGCCGAGTTGGCATCACACTGGGGGCATTTTGCTAACTGTCCCTCACTTGTGCTCCAAAGGTGGTGAAACTTGCCAAGTGTGTGTGTGTGTGTGTGTGTGGGGGGGGGGGGGTGCAGGATCGATAAGTTTGGCTGTTTCCATTTTCTTTTAGATGTGATTCAGAACAAACAAGCATCAGCAAATATGTAAGTAAATGACATATCATCTACTGTAACTGCTTCTTGACTACGATAACAATATGTGATTCAGAACAAACAAGCATCAGCAAATAAGTAAGTATATACTTTATTTATAAAGCAGTTTAAAAACAAGCTTCATTGACCAAAGTGCTACACTGAGTAAATAGATAATATCATAAAACAAATAATAAAATGCACACACAAACACAATCTGCACATGGATACTACGCTAAGGAATACAAATACATTTTTAGTTTAACCATCAGAAACTAAAGAGGCAGCTCAAATATGGCTGGGCAGACTCTTACAAAGCCTTTTTCTGGGGGTGTGACTCGAAAATACATAGCTTATTGATGGGTTTGAACCTTCCCCTCCCCCAAACCCCGGCGCTCTGCGGCCCGGTGCTCTGCGGACGGATGCTTGGGAGCCCCTGCTAGGCTGTAGCCTTGTGATCTGCGTTGCACTGGCACGCCTTCCGGAAAGTGCCGCGCAACAGGCTACTCAGCCTGCCAGGGATTACCATGAGAAATGCAGCTATACAGTTAAAATGATTGGCCTATAAATAGCAAAATATTGTTATCGTACTCAAGAAGCAGTTACACTGGATGATACGTCAATATCGAGCTCTGCTTGCAAATCTTAACTGCAGAAAGATGACACTCCCATTTGTTTACTTTTTCAAGCTGATTTATACATGATGCAGAATGTGATCTGGCTACTTCTCATTTTCTACAAAGGCAGGCACAGTGCCGACGCCGATTCCTCCCTGTCATTTGATTATCTTAAGCCCCATTCCGACGCCATCTTGTTTAATCACCTTATGAATTAATGTATGTCGTTTTCAGCCTCGCAAAAAGGCTGCGTTAAGATCCATGACATCAGGAATTATATGCGGCTTAATTGAAAAAAGAGGCAGCATTCTTTGAACAGAGACAATGCATCTTGCAGGAAACAGATTTGCTATGTCGTGTCTGGAGAATTTGTTCGTATTTATGGAATCCGAACCCATTACACTATGGGATGACATTTAGCTACAATGATATAACCTAGTCTGGGCCAACTGGTCCACTAAAGGATGAGTACCCCCCCAGCAGACACACTTTGGGATCCTGACTTTTACTGAGTAATAATTCAATTTCATTTATTTTTATATAGCGCCTTTCATAACACAGTCACCCCAAGGTGAGGCAAGTGTGTGGTGACCCATCACCAGAGCATGTGAGCGGAGTGGAGCGGTGAGAATTTCCGCTCCTCGCTCACGAGGCTGTTGGCTCCGCCCGCTCTAATTCGCACTAAGCCACTCCAGTCAAATCGCTCCATGCTCGCTCCAATTTAACCTCCTGAGACCCAGGAAAAAAAAAAGTATTTTGATTTTTTTCATATAAATCAAGTGTTGGGGTGGTAAGAAACAAATTACAAAGATTACTTTGTTTGTACCTAATTTTATTTAAATTTTACAACACGTGCACTTCAGTGCACAACAGGATTTCGTTTGTGAGAAAGATCAAGAATATTTAAGAGCTTATCATGAAAATTGAACACTCCACTGAAATCTTTGTGAGCAAGATATCAAAACATATTGAACATATTTACATAAAAACAACACAGAAACACATTCATTTATGATATCTGAGGAAGCACTGTGATTTTTTGGAGACACAGACAAACAATTGACACTTCACACATCTCACGTATGTTTTGCTGTTGCACCCAGGCATTCTGCACCTGAATGGACGTGGAATGTCAACCATTTCAGGTAGGTGGACTGCACCATATTTTCTTATTGTCTCATCTGGGTGGGGCTTCCTTTTCTTGATTTGCGTTATCAGTTGAGTTATCAGTTCCTCGACCAAAAGGAGTTTGAACTCCAGGTACTGGGAGTTGTTCTTTGCAGCTCATTGCAAGGCCTGGTTGTCTTGTCGATGCTGAAGCCATGAGTTGGTAATGGCCAAATCAATGAAGTGAAGTATGGTGCGAACAGTCCACTTCTTGGTCTGGCTGGACATTCTGTAGAAACTGAGCATCCGATCACACACGTCAACCCCTCTCATGTTGATGTTATATTCCGCAACCACTGCAGGTCTTGGGACTTGGATTCGCCTCTTTTCTTTCTTTGACCATCTGGAACAGGTATCCTGGGGCTCAATTCCATGGGCAGTCGATGCCATGACAACAGGCTTGTTGTCCATCCACTTGGTGACTGCCATTTCATCAGGTCTCCGTGCAATCATTTCTGATGACCCTCTTGGTTTTCTGCTCAGGTTGTTGTCAGCAGTGAAGCGGCACTCTTTTTGGATGCGATTCTTTTGAATTGTTCCTGTAGCAGATAGGCCCCTTTCTTTAAGAGCATCCAGAACACTGATGGTGGTAAAATATCGGTCAAAGTAGACCAGTGATCCTCTGGGAAGTGTCTCAGTCAAATGCAGGACTGCATTTCCACCTATTCCCTTGAGTGAAGGTGTTCTTTCCCATGTAGGTTTCAAAATCCAGTACTAAGCCACCTGGACTTGCAAGAACGAACACCTTTAATCCTGTTGGATTCGGCTTCCCAGGTACAAACTGACGAACCAGACAACGGCTGGTGAATGGAACAATCTGTTCATCAATACAAACCTTTGTTGGCCTAGGTAGTCTGAGGCAACCTTGAAGGACTCTCTTCAGAACTGGCCTGACTTTCCACAGGGGATCCTTTTTCTTTTCATGTTCTGGCACATCCAGATCATTCACCACTTCCAGTGAAGACCTGATCTTTAAGAAACGATCACGTGTCATAGAATCAGCTATAATTGGGACTCTTGTTTTGGCAGCCCAATACATTTTGATTCTTGGATATCCAAGGCATGCCATGTACACAGAGATTCCTAAAAAGGTTTTGATCTCCTCTTCCATGGTTTTCTTCCAACACAGGCATGAATCTAAGACATAGAAAAAGAATTTAGCAAAACGCAATTTAGCAGAATTAACATAAATATTTTTCTTGAGTATCTGGGATAGTTCACTTACAACAATTTTACACTATATTTTATTTTTCTGTACTGTTCTGTAATATAATTTTTTTTACCGGCTACTGCAACACTGAAATTTCCCTTTGGAGATTAATAAAGTATGTATGTACTGTATGTATGTATCTATATGTATCTGTCTATGTATGTATCTATTTATCTATGTATCTGTGTATCTACGTATCTATTTATTTATTTATTGGAACACATTTCTTTATGTTATCCTTCCTTTTTTGCTCATAATCAAAAATCCCAGATCCCTACATGTTGGTCTTGGCCCAGATAGGACGGTGGCACACTTCATCTGGCCCTGTGTCTTTATCTACTACATCGGCATCTTACTCATCCTCATCTGTTTCCTTATCTGGTTCCTCATAAGGGTTCTCACTCTCTCCTGGACTCAATGGACTCTCATCTTCAGAAAGATCTAAGTCTGAATCTCCCTCAATGATTCTGTTAAGAATTCTCTCTGCTTCTGTGAAAGAACTGTCTACTAGAAAAAAAAGTGAAATAAACACAAATACTAAGTCCTACAGTACACATTAATAAATTAGTCATCTGCACCGAGAAAAAAAATAATCTAAGTTCTGAAAACTTACTCAGATTACTTATTAGATGTTCATTTAGGGGAATTAATCCAAATATAACATTAAAAAACATTTTAAATATACTTATCAGAGATGGGGGACTCGAGTCACATGACTTGACTCGAGTCAGACTCGAGTCACAATTTTCAGGACTTGAGACTTGCTTGATTGGAGTAAGAAAATGACTTGACTTGACTT